GGCGCTGGAAGTTTCTCCGGCCCCGACTCTAGGCTGTGCTCCTTACTAGATCTTTCTTCTCGTTTTCTCAGCTGAGTCATTGGCCATTCCTCTATTGGAGCCCTCATTCTAAACCCGAATGTACCCTTGACTTCCTGTCTGCCTCAGTTTCCCTGTCACACAGTCCAATCCCTTGGGTCTCTCTGCCGAGTTCCCGTGTGTGTGTGTGTGTGTGTGTGTGTGTGTGTGTGTGTGTGCCCGCGCGCGCGCCCACCCAAGAATCTAATCTTCACCCCTCCTGGAGTCTTCTGCCTGTCCATCCCTGATCCCCTGGATGCTTGGGCCTTAAGTTCAGCCACTCACGCGATCCTACCTGACATTCCCACCCTCCTCAGTCTTCCTGGATCTCATCAGTCATCCTACTCCCTGCTCTCTCTAGCTCCTTCCCTCTGGTAGCTCTTCATTCCTCAGTTTTCCCAGCTGGGAAAAGACTTGGGAGGCAGCCCAGGGCTCTGCCCTCTCAGGTGACCCTTCTTACCCCAGGACAGTTCCTGCCTAGGCCTCAGGCCTGGAGCTGCGCCTTTCCCAAGTTATCCGAGCACTTTCCCTCACCCATGGACTACAAATTCGCCTCTGCACCTCACACATGAACCCAACCCCTCGTCTGGCAGGGCCCCTTCAACTATTTATTTGTGTATTTATTTATTTATTTATTTATTTATCTATTTATTATCCTATTTAATCTCTTGGCTTCGCCCAGGGACTGTCTGGCTTCCCCAGCTGGACTGGGAAGTCGAGGAGCAGGGTCTGGGGAGAAGCCCACCCTTACCAGAGCCTGAACTCCTTAGGAAGAGGCCTGGAGAAATGGGGGAGGCGGAGCCTGCTGATCTTCAGCTGGCAGGGGAGGGGCCATCAGAAGGTCCTGTTTCGGGGCAGGTCCCCGGCCTCCTGAGCCTTCCACTTCTGTCCCAGGAAGCCCTCTAGAGCCTCCTCCTTTGTTTCTTATTTATTCCTCTTTCAGAGGGACCCCAGGTTCCAGGGACCGACTGAGCCCCGGACCCCGCTGGGGCCTCTGACCTGCTCCCGGGAGGAGTGCTCTCTCCCGGCCACGACTATGCAACTCTCCCGGGCAGAGGGGCCGGGACTGCCAGCCAGGCGCCTATTGGCCACCACTACCTCCTCCACCGCGCTTTTGCATGCCCGGGCGAGGACCGAAGCACACACCTCCGCGCGCACCGGCCCGGCCCCCTCTGCTTTAAGCACACGCCTCTGCCCGCATTCCTCTGTGTTCCCTTTGTGGACAAGAGTCCTGGGCACTCAGATCTCCTCTCCCTCCCCTTAGCCACAAAAGAGGGAGGAGACTGCAGACCGCTCCAGGCCACACTCTGGGGCTTCCGAGGGGGTGGAGCTTCATTCTACCCCAGGCTCCCAGAAGGGAGGCTGTAGAGATGGTGGGAGAGAGAGGGGTCACCAGAAGCAATTATGGAGGGTGCTGACCCTGTAAATAGGAACTCTGACAGCAATAATTTCCCATGCATGCTAAGCCTTTGGCCCCTCCCTTGCCGTACCCCCAACTCATCCCCCACCCCTATTCCTTCCCCATCTTCAGCAGTATTACTTGTAACGCAATTCAGGGATATTAAAGGGACTTTGGCCACTCACTAGTGCCTCCAGACCTTTGACGGATCGGTGTTTAGACCCTCCCCCTAGTGCCTATAGGTTTTCCCTCCTCACACTTTGGGAGGGGCGGTTGAGAGTGGAACAGTATGCCAACGCTCCAACTATGACAGCGGTTATGGGACAACCTACCTTCAACACACACAGCCTCCAGTGGGGTCTGGGGAGCGCAGGCAGTGGTGACATTCGTCTTCCTCCCACCTGCCGCCTCTTTGACTACACACTGTCCTGGCCTGCTGTGGTATCCAGTATGGGGACAACCTTCACGCTAGATGGGGGGCGGGGGTTATACTCTAGGTGAATCTTTATGAAGCAGAAGGAAGTTAATGCAAAGAATTGGCTGCTGAGAAGATACACAGAAAAAGATAGGAGTCCTTAGCAGGACCCCCAGAACTCCATCACGGAACCTTCACCAGGACAGCTACTTCTTCCACAGTTAAGAGGTGGTGGTGAGCTACACAGAAAAACCCTGTTTTCAACCCACCCCCCCCAAAAAAAAGAGGTGGTGGTGGTCAAGAGCCCGCACTGAGGCTAAAGGAGGCAAATCTCTTGTGAGTTCAACCCAATCTAACCTGGTCTACATGGTAAGTAAGCTCCAGGCCAGGTAGGGCTACATAGTGAGAACATGTCAAAAATAAAACAAGACAGCACCATAAATACTGCCCAGGGATCAGAAGGCCATTGCCACTGCCTTGGTAACTCCATCTCTGATATGTTGGTAGCCTGTTCCGTAATGCCACTACAGAGCTCAGCTCCTCCAAGGCCATCTTAATAGCAACAAAAGTCAAAGGTAATAAGAAAGTGGTCTCTGCCCACTTCTGTCATCCAGGTCCCAGGCAAATGCATTGCACTGGCAGAATTTAGTTTATGGTCAACAATATTGCTGCCAGGAAGTTTGAGAGAAGTGATTTTAACTTCTCAGCCCCATACTAAAGCCACTCTAGAGCCAACACTCAAAGGGAGGTGGGAATGGATGCTGGTGCCCATCTGGCTTCTCAGCCCCATCACAGTGGTCCAGCACCCACCCCATCCTTTCCTCCTTAATTAGCAGCTTAAGGGATATCTGAAGTTAGCTTTCTTTTGGGCCACTAACCAGCTCCCCAATCATGACACAGAGACTTATTATTACTTTTGAATGCTTGGCCTTAGCTTAGCTCTTACATTAATCTGTTTCTCTTTATCTACCTTTTGCCTTGGGGCCTTCTATTTCTCCCCCCCTCTCTCTCTCTCTCTCTCTCTCTCTCTTCCTTTCTCTCTTTGTTCCTATATTGGCCGTTCAGCTTTTTATTAGACCAATCAGGTGCCTTAGGCAGGCAAGGTGAAACAAATGCAACACATCTTTACATAATTAAACACACATCCTTACATCCTGAAACAAATGTGGCATAAACAAATGTAACACACCTTTACACAGTCAAAGCAAGTTTCTGCAGCATAAGCAAATGTAACATATCTTTACATAAAATAATTTCCACAAAAGATAGCTGGGAGGAAATTAATACCATCACCCTGGAGGTTAAGAAATGAATATACAAACAAGTTCTGGCCAACAAGACTTAAGGAGAGGGCGCTGGAACCTTGTGGGTTCTTCACTACCTTCCCCATCTTTGAAGATACAGCCAGTCTTTCTCCTCCTTACATGTGAGTAGAGGATCATTTATGGCTGTGACGGGAACCTGCATTTGCATGAAGAATGTGCCACAAATGGCAAAGGACAGAAAAGGCCTCTGTCCTTGAGGATGCTGAAACTGACAAAAAATAAAAGGCCATTCTGAAACTTCATGGTTGGTGTACAGTTTCAGTTGAATAAGGGTCTTTACCCGAAGACCAAGGTCCCTGACTGGCATATGGATATAGTCCACTTGTCATCATTCCCTCAGGGGCCTTCAAGACTGAAGGCACTGGTTCTCTATCATCTGGCTGCCTACCCAGCAATTTTGCTGACACATGTAACAGCCTAATGAAGGAGTCCAGGTGCTGTTCCTAGTCACTTACCCTGTGTCTTAAGTTCTATCCACACACAAGTGGCCTCCAGCTTATGGTTTGAGTTCCCAGCCCCTCTCTGAACTGCAAATCAGTATCATTCAGCAGGATTTGTCCACTTGATACCCAAAGCACCAGAGACCAGCTGGAGTCTAAAGCCAGGACTCAGCTCCCCTCCACAGTTTCCTGCCTCTACAAGTGGCTGCCCCACCCATCTAGCTGCAGACACAAAGTCCAGAAGTTGTTTTCCCATTCACCTCTACCCCACTGCCCAGTCCATCACCTTCACCTGAGCCCTTTTCCTCTCCATCTTCTGGGTCTCCACCTTAGTTGATAACCACCATCATCTCCTAACTGGGTTGCTGGACCAGCCTCTCACTGGTCTCCTGGGATCCACTGTGCCTCCTTAGGCTCCCCTCCTCAACACAGCAGCTTTGGAAATGTTTCCCAAAGTTCAGGTCTCCCATCTATCTGTCTTTGTTTCGGCAGATAAACTGTGCAGCTGTTTATTCCCCAAGATGGGCATGGTAGCTGATGCTGGCAGTCCCAACACTTGGGAGGCTAAGGTAGGAGGACTGTCTGAAGCTCAAGGCCAGCCTAGGCTATAGTGAGTTCTAAGTTACCCCAAGCTATAGAGGAAGGGCATGAGAGCATGTGCCTGTAACCCCAGTGCTGGTGTGTGTGGAGGAGGTAAGACAGGGGCTCACTGCTCAGCCGGTCTACCCAAAATGGCTACAAGTTCAGAGACGGTCTCAAAGCAGTAAGGGGAAGAAGATGTTGGCCTCCAGCCTCCACACATAAACTCACAGGCGAGCCCAACTGCTCACATAAGATTTTAGAGGTCTAGAAGTCCTAGATGGAAGTTCCAGAAAATTCCATGTCTGTTGTGGCTCTGCTTCCTGCTGCACAGATGGCCATCCTCTGCCTCAACCACATGGTGCAGGGACAGTGGAGCTTTCCAGGGACTTGGTGTGTTCACACAGAGACATATGTGCAGGTGCAAGGACATTAAGGATGGAGCCCAGGGCTTCCAACACGCTTGCCTTACAGGTAGGCTCTGCCCTCAGCTCCCAGGGGGTCTCTCATAAGGGCACCAATCCCCATTGGTGAGGGCTCTGTTCTCACGATCTAATCCTCTCCTAAAGGTCACCTCTTAAAACTGTGCGTTTGCAATTAGGGTTCCAACGCATGAGTATGGGAGGGACAAAAAGATGATCTCTCTGGGAACAGCACTCTGCCTCTGCCTCTGCCTCTGAATTCCTATCACTCTGTAGAGATCGGGCTGCTGTGAAACACCTGGTTACCTGCCCCTGCCTCCTCTGTGCTGGGATTTCGGGCACATGCTGCCACACCAGGCTGTCAGTCTTATGTATGATTTTTATCCCAATAGTAAATAAAGTTTCACTCCTTCCATATCCAAGTCTCACCTTCAAATCATCCAACCCTGTAGTGAGAGATCTTACTAGGTACCTGAGGCGCTGGCCACGCCCAAATGGGCGTGGTCACAGGTTCGGTGAGCTTGTGGGATTTTGGTCTGGGGTAGGGGGACAGGCTTGCTCTCTTGGTTCTGGTCGGAGGGCAACTGAGACTGGATGTTCATGTGATTTCTCCCCAATAAAATTAACCTACATCATCCCAATCCCATGTGTCGTAATTTGTACTACCACACAACCCAGATGCTGGCAAAACACCAGAAGCAATTCATCCTGAGGAGTGCTCCTCCAGCCACGAGCCTGTAAGATCCAATGAATCCCATGCTTCCAAAATACAGCGGTGGGCAAGACACAGGCCAGACATCCACAGTCCAAACGGGAGACTAGGGGACAAGAGAAACTCCATGAGCTATCAAACTAAAAACTACTCCTTTTCAGGGCGATGCTGAGCCCTCCAGGCCTACAGGGGCAGCATTTCAGTTCCACCCTAAGGATACAGAGGAAGGCAGTGTGTTTCCTGTTTCCATGAGTTTGCTTAGCAGCCCTTGTACCACCAG